ACAACACTAGGATACAAGAGACAGGAACTTATAGGGCAGATAATGAGGGGCAGACAGGTGAACACAATGAGGTGATTAACTAATAATGGGAACAGGAACAACCAAATAAGGACACAGAGGGAGAAACCATAATCGACAGTCCACAGGGGTGTGACAGTTGTATGTTACAGTCCAATGCTGAAATTCAAAAATAAATAAATAAACATATATGAAGAATTATATTAAACAATATTTAACTGTAATTGAAGTATGCTGATGCAATAAATGACAAAACACTAATGTCAATATACAGTTTGTATTTATTGTACTAATGTCAGTCAATAAAAAAAACATTAAGATCATGGAAACAGGCTTTATTTAATGGATGCAAAAATACATAACTTATAAATTGCCATTCTATATTTTAATCCTCTAAAGAGACAGTTTGAACAGGATAAAACTTTATTTTGATGGTCCCTTTTGAACATTATGTTGACAATAAGTAACATTGCACCTACATGTCTTTTAACTTTTATTAGTGTTTATTAGTGTTAGTAGACTGTCCGCTTAATATCTGCCAACTCTTTATTGTGATAGTCTCCCAACAGACATTCTACTGATCATAAGTAACTATGCAATTACATATCAGCTTATTCAAATCCTAACCCTACCAGTCTACGAATACTCTACTAACACTCTAATGAGACTATGTAGGTGCAATGTTAGGGACCATCAAAATAAAGTGAAACACTCTATCCTTCATCCATAGTGAGCTCAATTGCCTTTTGCTACATTGCATTAACATTTCAATATATGTAAATTGTGGAATTTTTATTAAAAACGAAAAGCCATAAATGCGCTATTCTTATGTTCTTCAAGTGGTCTCGAGTATTTTTAAGGATAGAGAATGTTAATATATATATATAAAAAACACCAAGCAGGTGTAGCCTTTACCATCATATGGCATAGATCTCAAAATATGAATTTTGTCAAGAAAGATCATAAAAAATAAAATGAACATTGCATTAAAGCAAATTAATGTAGTTACATTATTTGGAATGGAATTCACTGTCATTAATAAGCTATATCACTGTCGTCATTACAGTGGACAGCAGTACACATGCATGTGCTGCTGCCGTAAAGCAATCTGCCCATTTTGCAGAGTTTTGTACCCACAGCTCACCAAACGTACATAACTCCCAGATCAGACGTTTGAGAGGAAGCTTTGGAAAGAAACAGAAACTATTCCCAGGTTTGACAGGCATTTATTTGCACCTATTGTGTTCTCTTCTTTTTAA